CATGTGACTTTTCTTGTATAATTATCTTAAACTGTTTTATGTCTATCCATTTTAGGGCAACGAATCTGTGAAGATTCAACTGCAATACTTTTCGATAAATATAAATATATAAAAATAATCTAAGACAAGTTTCACAGATTTGTAAATTAAAAAAATTATGTCACTTACCGATCCGATGCGCAACAGCGGAGTGAATCTGCCACGTAGCTACGATGATTCTGTAACACAGAGACAGAACATTCAAATTATAACAGTGCTTTAAATGATAGATATGTTACAAAATAGCTTTTACGTATATTGAATCTACATATTTGCTTTTCAATTAAATATTAAAAATTAATATAAATTTAATATTCATTAAAATAATAAAATAATTTTCAATAAAAATCTTTATAAAAATAAAGGCGTCATATTTTAAACTGTTTTTCTTTCCCGAAAAAACTATAAAAACTATAAATTTTAAATTATCGAAATTTATTAATCCAAATAAATGTGAAACTGATTAATTTTATGTTGAGAAAGAAAATGTATATTTACCGCAAGGTTGCTCCGCCGGCGCTCGATGCCTCTCCTAGGCCTCCTCCTCCTCTCAAGATGTCGGGTCGTCGGATGTCCTCGCAGCACAGGACACTCGCGTAAAACACTCGCGAATTATTATAATTGCGCGCGGATTAATTTTAAATAAAAGTCTTTTAGTCCGGTCATTTGTACGGCACTCCTGAAACAGACGTGCGGCGCGACGAACTGGTTGCAGTTCGTTCATTCACTTGAAAATTGGCGGCGGAAAAATAATGGTCGATTAAAAATTCGACCGATTAACTTGCCACATAAGAGTCATTGAACGACTCGTGACTATGCTGTGTTAGTACATTATTAATAACAATAATATTACCTAATGTTAATATTAATGTTACTAATAACGGTGCAATGGGTACTGTTAGCTTTTTCGTCTTTGGAATTCCGTTGGGGAACCCAAAGGAATCCCTCGAAATACTGAGCCCCTCTGTCACGTCAAGGCCGTACCCATTGGAGAGGTTATCATTTATAAAAATTCATGAATTTCAAAGGAATAAATCACTAAATAAATATATATATATGTATACTTTGTTAGATATTCGTCATTCGTCATATGTTTACGAGTCATTAATTACGCGCGTTAAAAAGCATTTATATTCATAAGATGTAACACGATTTGGTATCATTTAGCATTGAAGAAATACGAAGAAATACGGAACGATGCGTATCGCGACCTACCCCTACGAATGCCGGTGAAACATTGCTAGCGCTCGTAAACACGTGACGTACCAGCCGCGGCTGGTAAAAAACGTAAACTCTTAACTAAACAACAATAGTTTGGTTAGACGAAATTCAACACATATTACAAATCAAATTTAATCACGAAGCGTTATAACATCTTTCGATAATGAAACATTAAATAATATAATCGTTATATTTTACTTTCTAAATTTCTACTGTCATTTGCTCTTTCATTTAGAGTGCATTTATTTGAACGCTTGTGCGCTGGAAGCATTGTTTTATTTTTCTTTAACGTGTATATGAATAATACGTATATGAATAATAAAAATAAAATGATGCTTATGGCGCATGAGCGTCCAAAACGAACACATTCTTAATAGACTCGTTACAATTTATTTGTGATACATATATTGATATATCTTATATATTTTATTTGTTATAATAAACGATTGATACAATAAACCAATATACATATTATAAAATGCAAATTGCATTTAAATCGGTGAGAATTTCAAAGTAGAGAAGTACCATTCCAGGAGAATTTGTATTGAAGATATTTGCATTAGATCATTAAAGAAAGCTCTTCAGAATACGCAGGCCTTTCGTTAAGGCAATATCCGTCGTTACAATATCGTTTATAAAAATAAATTATTACTATGCTTCAAAAGATAAGCGTTGATCAGTGAATATGAGTCAGTTCCGTCGGCCGGAATATTCAAATAAAATAAGTCGTTTTTTTGATATATATGTATAAATCCGACAAACTTATTAAACTGCGCGAGCTATCAACGTTTATTATAACATGCATCGTAAGATGTTCTGAACATCATTTAGAATTCACCGCGACTTCGTTTCAAAAAAAAAATGTGAAGATGCGGAGCGATACGTAACATCACCTGCCCGCACGAGTGTCGGTGGTTGAATGATAACACGATACGCGCGCGCGTATACAATATCCGTTGATTGTAAACAAAGTACAAGGCCGCGCGCTATTGTATCGCTATCTCAAAACATAAAGGTTTTAATGTTTATAACAAAATTATATGTAAGGTATACATCTTTCCGTTGGCTTTACACATGGAAGAAATATCAGGAATAAATATTAAATTTTGGAAATTCGGAGTAATGTTAATTAATATTAATAATTATGAGATTTTAGTAGCAAGATTATATAATATGTGATGTAAATATTTTATATAAAAATATAATTAAAAAATAAATAGCGCGTGCGAAGCGCGCGTTTTGTATTGTTTCTGCATATAACAAAGTTTTAAAATTCTATAAAAATTGTATGATAAATGACTATATTCTATTTTAACGTATGGAATAATTTAAAAATCTAAATGGCACATTTATGTTAATGAACAATTTGAGAAAACATCTAAACTTCAATCAAATTCGGTAATAATTATAATTAACGTAATAAGACGTGCAATATATTATTAATCGTAAATTAATTCAAATCAATTTTAAGCAATTACTGTTTCTTGAAGGCAATAATTGCATTGGAAACCATACTTGTTCCATCAATTATATCAATTATACACTACCACGAGATGATATAGATGCCTTAATAAATGGTACTGTCCGTGTTGTCCAAGAAACAATGTTACTTAAAAATGATTATATAAGTATCAATTTCGATTTTGGAGGATCTAACGCTCATATATTATTAAAGTTGAATGACAAACAAAAAATTAACAATAAGGTATTGAATAACAATTTGTCAAGATTTGTAATATCATCCGGAAATAGTGAGGAATCAGTAAAATATAAGAAAATTTAAAATATGTAAAGAAAAGAGGACCAGGACCAAGAAGTGAAATTGGCGGGGGTGGTGAAGGACCTCTACAAATTAATCAGTAAAAACGCAAAAAAAATTATAACATAGAAGTTTGCTATAATTAATGAGATTTGTTAGAAGTATGATAAATAAGCAATAGGACACATTTCCGATTTTGTAAGACAAGGACAGAGAGAGATTGATCATCCCTCTTTATTTAACTATCACTCCTGTATATAGCACGGAACAAAACCATAAAATCATGGACATAGCACAAATGAGAACCACGCAATCGTGAACATTATCTACAGGATCATTGGTTATGTAGTTCAATGTCCACGTTTTTATGGACATAGAGGCGCTTCAAAATAAAGTTACAGTTAAATCGCAGGCATGTCTGCTCCCTTTCTTTCTGCACATAGCTCTCGTGAATTGGCAACACTGACTTCACTTTACTTTCCGATTTTATCTTTATAAAAACATATATTGTCTCTATAAGTTACACGTCCCATGGTTAGTACACGTCATTAGTTAAAGCAATTGATAGAATTTTTCAAAGTTTTGTTGGGAATTGTTGAATTGTTAATCAAAATTTCTTTAATAAGAGCAATATGGAATCATTGTACCATCAAACCAATAAATTAATACAAGAAACACAGCATATTTTCTCGCAGCTTGAAAGAAATTTAGCTGATACAAATGTGCAGGAAGTGAAGCAGACTATTGAGGACAAGATCAATCTTATCAACAGGTAGTCAAAGTCATATCTTCTTTTCTTGTGCATTGTTTTCTGTACACTAAATTTATTTATTTTCCTTAGCAATTGCGAGCGACTCGACGTGCTATGCTTCAAGGGTCCAGTATCGCAGAGGCAAAACAATAAAATGAGGGTTGACCAGTTGAAGTATGATAGTCGTCATCTCACTGCTGCTTTAAACTCGTGGTGCAATCGCGTGATGCGACAACAGAGGGAAGAAGCCGAAAGGGAAGCCTTACTGGCCAGAAAGTTCACCACTAATGACCATGTGGATATTTTCATTGATCATACTGCACAACATAATAGCAGTTTGCACAATGCTGTTCATGGTATAGATGATCTGTTGCACCAGGGTAGCAACGTCCTGGATAACTTGAAATCTCAAAGAATGACATTGAAGGGAGCTCATAAACGTCTGATAGATATCGGCAATACTTTAGGCCTTTCCAATACTACCATGAGGCTCATTGAACAACGAGCCAAACAGGATGGGTTTATTTTAGTTGCTGGTATGACCTTTACTTGCATAGTCATCCTTTTAGTGATAGTTTATCTCACATAGACATTCCAAATATTAAACGAATTATATATTGTGATACATTTGTTCATTTTTCTACCATATTCTACCATCTATTATTGCTAAGAAAAAATTATAGATTGCTTATTTTGAAACAAAGATTTATATATATGTAAACATAAATAAGAGAAACACAATTTGGGCTAATATTTTACTTGTTATATGACAAACTTTTTAAATATTTTTAATTAGTTAGAAATAGTGACATTTTTAAGTCTTCAAAAATTTTTGATTTTTTAACACATTTATATCCAGAAATTTTCCTATTGTAATATGTCGATATGTTCATAATATTTGTGACACAATATTTTTTGTTTGACAAACAAAACATTAGCCTTATGAAATGTTATTTATATTACATTTTACAACAAAATACTATACATTTATTTGCATATTTAATTATAAGCTTTTCTTAACTAGTGTTAAGAATATTTAATTTGTATCAATAATAAACTTGTATCAATGATCTTTCGTTATTGTTATAATAAAATTATTCATATTTTAAATGGTAAAAATATATGAAAAGATTTTAGAAGTGTGTATGCTATATATAATTTTATGATTTATGTATAAATAATATAAACTGATTTGTGAATATGCGAACTGTGTACAGAAAGCATTCTATCAATTTTTATCATAATTTACTCATTGGATTTTTGACAAATACTTCAAATATTTATCATAAAATTTGACTGCAATTATTTTCTTCATTTCTTTTGCAATTCTTTTTTTCACATTAAAGTTTGTTATATAATATAAAAAAAACGCCAAAAATTCAAAAAAGCGCTTATGACTCCTATCATAGAAAATAGCAAGTATGCCGTGCGGGAGAAGTAGTCAATCAATTTACCACTTTTACATCAATATCCACAAAGCCTGGTCGTCATTATGTTATTTCGACTTTAAGCGAGATTTAAATATGTATTTGTCTAGTTAGAAAGAAAAATAAAGAAAGATACATATTAAGTACGACTGACCAATCATATTTATTGTTAAATTTATAAACAAATTAATTGATCAATTTCAATAGAATAATCGATTAAATTAACTGGAGTTTGGAAAGTGATCTTTAGCTCATATTCACATGGCAGACTTGTATCATATTTTTACTATAAATTTACTAGATGTTAACAGTCCAGTATTAGTCCCGGTCTACTAAGGTGATTTAAGCCTTAAGTCATAAGAAATGGATGAATCATAATCGAAGAATAGAAGAATACTCGATTATGGTTGGTTAATTTCTTATAGCTTAAGGCTTAAATCACCTATTGTAGACCGGGACTAATCTAAACGAATCCAACCTTACCTAACTTGAACCTGATCTTTACTGAATTGAACTTCAGAGACACGTGCAATATAGTAAGGAACGATTGTTCATTTCTGTATAAAATTTCAAAGTTGAAATTATCGTATTTGTAGCTTAATAAAGTGACCAAAAATATCAGTTATAATGGATGAGATGCTGAAAGACACGCGTTTCGCACACGTCGCGAGAGATCCAAAATTTCGTCGGATTCCCAAGGCAGAGAGAAAAGTGAAAATCGATCATCGATTTAAAGGCATGTTTACGGACAAAAATTTTACTGTGAAGTATACCATTGATAAACGTGGCAGACCTGTCAATCAAACCACCACCGAAGATCTCAGAAAGTTTTACGATCTGTCTAGCAGTGAAGATGAAGATACACTTGGGTTAACTCCAGGCAAAAAAGATAGTGAGAAGAAAGTAAAAGATATTAAGAAGGACAAAAAGAAAGCAGTGAAAAAAATCGAAACGAAAAACGATTCTACAAAAGATTCTTCTAGAGAAAAGAATGAAGATGATGAGAACAAAGATGATTTGAGTAAGGAAAAATTATCTGAAGTTAAAATAAAAGAGGAGTCTTCTAGTGATGAGTCTAATAATGAATTCTCAGATAGTGAGGATAAGTCTATTCAGAAAGGATTTTCTCAAGCAGAACTAGACAAAAATGACAAGCAACTACATAAAAGGAGAAAAGATGAAAAGGATAGACTTACGAATGAAATCAAAGAGAAACTGAGAGATCTTACTGTAAATTATGCCAGAGGAGAAGGTGTCTTGTTAACCGACAGTTCTTCGGAAGAAGACTCATCTGAAATTAGTGGTATTTATTACATTTTATCGATTATCCTAGGTACTTATAAATTATTGCAATTATTGTAATTATTAACACTTAATCTTTGTTTAGATGAAGAAGATATTGAACATAATTGGGGTGAACTAGATAAAGAAGCTGAAACAACAGATGAGATCACTCATCGATTAGCTATTTGTAATATGGATTGGGATAGAATACGTGCTGTAGATTTAATGATTTTGTTAAATTCATTCTTGCCCAGTGGTGGACTTGTCCGTTCAGTTAAAGTAATTAAAGTATAATTAAATTTGAGATTATTAAATATTAATAATAATTAGTAATGAAATGAATTATTATTATATATTATTGTATTTTTCAGTTCTTTATATGTATATTGATTTATCTGTATATTGATTAAGGGTCGGCAGGGCTAACTCCGACTTGATCTAAAATGATTATCTACTCCTTATTTACAGTGTAGATATGTATCTGTAGATATGTACTTAATTATATTTTGTCTTATAGAAACAATGTTTCGTCATGAAACTTTGCTCAGATAATTTCTTTTACAATTATGAAGGTATCTACAGAGCTAATTTTGCAATTTAGCTCTTAAATAATTAAAATAAATGTAACTATCTACTCTTTATTTATAATGCAGATATATTTGAGTACACCTATATATCATCTCGTAGAAGCAATATTCTGCCATGAGCCTTTTTCTACGCATTTTTTATAAATAAATTATGACTCTTGCTAAGAGCGGAATTTTGCAATTTAGCTCTTAAAAAAAATTTACAATAGATGAAAATATTTGCACCTTATTGTCCTATAGTGCAAATCTATTTATGCATAAAATGAATTATTTATTTTCACACATTTTCTTACAAAAATCGCTCTGTAGCTTTTGTCAGGCAAATATTCTGATTATAAATATCATAATTATATAGCTTTTTTCGCAATATTTTGGCCGTAATATGGGTGAAAAAGAATTCATTTCCGATAGAGGTCTCCATAGTCTCTCCTGCCGACCCTTAATTATATTTTACTAAAAATATGGATTCAAAGGTTCATATTCTAAATTTTCTTTTATTGATAAAAATGCCTCTGAAAGTTGCTTATAAATCTTCTTATTGGTTATAAGCTATTTGTACAGGCATTTTTATTGATAAAAAAGTATTCAGAATATGAACCAAAATATATATTTTTTAATAATAATTATAAATAATTTTCATGTACTGTTTTCAAATTTATAAATTTACTTATTTTAGATTTATCCATCGGAATTTGGTCTGCAACGAATGAAGGAAGAAGAGATTAATGGCCCAACAGAATTAAGAAATAAAGCTGTTGAAAGTGAAGACGAAATTGAAGATGATGTATGAAACAATTATTTCATTACTTACAATTTCATACTGCATTCTTTTTTCTTCATTAATCGTTATATTAACTTCCTTTTTCTCAGAATGAAGAAGGTGCGAGATATCATATGGAAAAATTGAGACAGTATCAATTAAATCGATTGAAATATTATTATGCCGTTGCCGAATTTGATTCAGCTGAAACAGCAAATAAAGTATACACAGAATGCGATGGTATCGAATATGAATCAACTGCAACTAGAGTAGATCTTAGATTCATACCAGATGATATGACATTTGACCAGGTATTTTAAGATCATAATAGGGGGGAAATAACAAGTTGTATAAAAAAATTTGTTAAAATGTATTAAGAATCATGTTAATTTCATAATGTTTGTTGAAGGAACCTAAAGAGATATGTACTGAGATACCGGAACCTGTAAAATATCAACCAAGACAATTTATGACAACAGCTTTGCAACAAGTTAAAGTCCAGTTAACCTGGGATGAGACAAATCCAGATAGACAAGAGTTCACGCAGAAACTAAATTCGGGAAAATTACAGGATATCGATGAAAATGATCTGCAGACATACTTAGCGAGTGGTAGCGAAGACGACTCGGGTATGATATATTTTATTTTATATTGAGAATCTGTAATCTGTAATCTATTATATTATTCTTATATTTTAGAAGAAAAAAAAGATATAACTGAGAAAACTAGTGATAATTCAGAATCAGAAGTAAATAATGATCCCATTGGAAAATATAAATCATTATTAAAGTCTATTGAAGAAGAAGAAGAAGCAAAAAAGAACAAGGACGTTGAATTAGAATTTACATGGGGTTTAGGCACTAAAGAAAAAGCTGAGAAATTAGTCAAAGAAAAAATGAAAAATAAGGAAGAACTTACGCCTTTTGAGCAATATCTAGAGAAACGCAAAGCGAAAAAGAAAGCCAAAAGAGAAGAAAGAAAGAAACTTAAAGAAGAAAATCAAAAAAGCGATTCGGAAGATTCAGTGCCATCTGATGTAGATATGAATGATAAATTTTTCGCAGAGGAATTCAGAAATGATAAATCCTGTGGTAAAAGAAAGAAAAATAATAAAACTAGTGACATAGATTCGTCGAATAAGGAAGAAGAGAATCAACGTAAAGCTGAATTGGAGTTACTTTTAATGGATCAAGACGAGGATGGCAAAAAGCATTTCAATATGAAACAAATCGAAGAAAATGCGACTATGTCGAAATCTAAACAAAAACGTCTTAACAAAAAGAAAAATGTACAAGAAGACAATGCGAAAGAAGACGATTTTGAAGTTAATGTTAAAGATCCAAGATTCGCTGCTTTGTTTACATCACATCATTTCAATATCGATCCTGCAGATCCTCATTATAGGAAGACAAAAGGCACAGAAGCTTTGGTTAACGAGAAGTTGAAGAGAAGAGCTGATAATGAAGTGCATGAAGAAACCGTAAGTAGAAAAACATTTTTATTGGCAGCAATTTATATGTTCTTTTCTCTAATATGTGCCGAAATTTTCAGGATAAGCAATTTAAAAACCAAAAACAGATGAAAAGTTATCGACAGAATTGCAAGCTTTAATTAAATCTGTTAAGAATAAAACACAAAATATTGCACAGCCAATAAAAAGATAAAATAATTATCCTACTTGTATAATATTAATTGTAATAGTAAAAAGATTATATTTTATATTAAAAGATCTTATTCATTTTATGTTATTTATATTGCAAGATATTGATAGTACTTATAATATATTATAATTTTGCGCTATAATAATTTCTATAAAAAGCGAAATTTGGATGATAATACTGTGTTAATTAAAATTTCTTTGCAGGAAAAAAAGAAATAAGATGTTTTATAAATATATAATTTATTTTTTCCAGAATGGAAATAATATCAGGAATATAAATATCAGACTTGTAATTAAAGAAAAGACAGAATGTGTTTTTTTTTAACATTATATATAGTTATTATTAGAAATTACATTTTAATATATATTTTTTTCAAGAAATAAATCATTGAGTGTCAATCCAATTTTTTTGTAGATAATTTATGCATTGTATTGTCGCGTGCTATATGCATGTGCCATTAATCACTAGGGAATTTTCGCCAGCGTCGTGTTTCGGTATAGGTTGGCGTCGGTATTTAGTAAATGTTTTACGATTTGGCAAAATATATTTTCAAAACCGTAAAGCATACATGTTCGCGTATCGATCTCACCTATCCGAAAGTCAGGTTGGCGAACGGGCGGCACGAAATCTCACACCGAATTATAATTTGCTCGTGCGACACGTGTAATTCATCAGGACCGATTCACGGACAAGTGTGGACGGATATTGGTTATGTTCGCTGCTCGGGTGAAAACAAATTCGGGAGCGATGTAGCGGTAAGTAAAGACGGATCTGTGATCATCCGCAACGATATCGCGCAAGCTTTAATGCATGGTGCACTTGCAGCGATTGGACATGCCCGGTTTATAAACGGAAAATTTATTCTCACACCCGACTGGAACGAAAAGCTCGCATAAATGTACGGCAGCAGCGGCAGGTGCAACAACGTCCCCTGCACGGAACGTCGAAACAATGTCCGAAGGTTCTAAGATGGGCCTATTCGGCTCCAAGGACCGGAATCAGGAACAGAAAGAGAAATCTTCCAAAGATAATTCTCCAGCCCGTTATGCGCCGTATGGCATTGACAGTGATACCGAAACCTATGACACCGAGGCACTGAGCATGATGGATATCAACGATATCATCGGCGTGCAGTCCGGCGAGCAGATTGGTGACTCAACTCTGGAAAGCGAGATTGCCGCTCTCTCGCAGATAATTACAGAATCGAAGGTGGAGCCGATTTTACAGTCGGAGGAGTCCAAGACAGAAACACAACAGGATTCTTCCGAGACGAAGAATCCTACTTCTAGTATTATCTGCATTGATGACATCGACATTCCTAATGCTAACGAATCTAATATTGTATCTGAAAAGTGTATTAGTAGCATCCATGAAACACAGAAAGAGACATTGAATCTTGCCAGTAAAAGTATAACACAAACAGAATCATCATTTATCACAGACAAAAGTGTTTTTGGGAGTACAGAAATAGACTGTATAATTAAACGCGATGAAGCTTCCGACATAAATACTAATAAGATAGTTAGTGATGCATCCACAATTTATACATCAGAATCGTCTTCCAATGACAAGTCACTCATTGAGATTAATTCATCAACTGCTGTATCAAGCTGTACTTCGCGAGAAACTGCCCAGAATGAGCAACAAGCAGATATTATTTCCTTGGTAGATCATGAGAAAAGCATGACCGAAAAGATGAAGGATGAATCTGTTGATAAAACAGATAATCAAAATAAAACCAAAACCAATACAAGACCTATGGTGGCAGTTGGTGGAATTAGCAAGAGTTTGCAATTGATAGGAGAAGCATATAATTCTGAGGATTCAGAAGAAACAGATGTGAATGATAGCGACTTGCCAAAAGAAACTTCATCACTTCGTATGTCTACAGAAACTTTATTGCCAGATATTTCTATAAAACAACATAAGGAAGATAATTCTGAAATGACTGATGTGTTAAAACAAAATACCAGGAATTTTTCAATGTTAAAAGACAATACAAGTATTTCAGAAGAATCAAATATGAAGATAGAAAATTTCACTGATAGCAAAAGAAAAGAACCAAATGTAAGAGTTAAAGAGCCAGAAGATACTAATCAAAGTGAAACATTACAACAAGTTTTAGAAACACAAGGTAATAACTTTGATTTTACAACAAATAAAGTAGAAAAATGTGTTAATAATGAGAAATCAAATTGCGCGCATAAACAAAATGAAAGTAACACAGGAATAGAGATGGATTTAACTGAAGGCACAACATTAGATACTTTTAGTACATTTAATGTATCATCAATGGAAATAACGAAAAATATAGAAGAAAGTGAGGAAATTAAAAATATTGAATTATCAAGTGTATCAATACTTATTCCTGAAATAGAGAAGCAAGATGATGCTACAATTTCTAGTGAAAAACAATTACCAGATACAGGAAAAGTAAATGATACAAAAGAACTTGCAAAAGATGTACTCGAACGCGAAGATAAAAATATTGTTTCAGAATCTACAAATAAATCTCAAGGAACAGTCATATCTGATAAAAAATTAAGTACAACAGAAGTAACAAATAAAAATGATGATACTCAGAAAGCAGACATCATTATTGAAAGTTCTCAGATAATACACAAAGATGTTTCAGTAACGGATAAAATCAATGATGATCTTCAAGAAACATCTGTTATAAAAATGGATCTTGCAACAATTGCTGCTACTTCTGATAATCAAGATAATATGGATGCCAACAATGTTAAGGAAACATCTGTGTCAATGGATAAAAATTTGATTTCAACTGCAGATACAACTAATGAAGAGTTAATTTTAAATGAAGATACATCAATGAATTATTCAGATATTGAAGACAAAAATGTAACAGCCAATATAAAATTTATAAGTAGTCATTCGTCAAATGAAGAAAACTCAGATATTTGTTCAACAAATTTAATAACACAAAGTGATATATATGTAATACCTACTGATGTTGATAATTCTGAGGAAACAGATGCTCATAAACAAGAAAATATCGTTGAGCAAGCAGTTGAAACGTTAATTCCAGTCGATAAATCTATTAAACAACTTTCATGTATATCAGAAAAATCTGAAATCCATGATATTACATCTAATAAACTTGAAAATTTACATTCTGCTTCAATATTACATGAAAACTTAAATGACACAGTTGAAAATGTAAACAAGCTTGAAATCGAAGAAACAAAAAATGTAAAAGTACCAGAAACAGTGGAATCGTCTGTCGATAAAGATCAAAATGTAACTTTATCAATGGAAAATAAACCAGAGGAAATACTTAATAAATCCGAATTATGCGCTCAGAATGATCAAGCTGATTTAAATATTACACAGGTGGAAAGTAAATTAATTTTAGAAAATGTTACTTCTGATGTATTATCAAAAAATGATGTAAATCCATCAACTGAAAATTTAATTGTTCCAGAAGATAACGCAAATTACATGTGTGATACAACACAAGAAGAAGATAAAATCGAAGAAAATCTTATTGCTGAAATACCATTGAATAAGACGAAATTGAAAGAAAATGAAACCTTTATGCCAAATTTAGACGAAGAAAAAGTTGAAGAAACTGAAAAAGATACTGACAAAGAAGATAAAAATCATGAAAAGAATTCGGTTTTAGAATCAGTAATTCCACAACTAGAAACTCCAACAAATTTAAAAGATATCAATTTACAGGATGATGGAGAGACTGATATGTGCAATAAAACCATAAAAACATCTAAAAAAGAATCAATTGATATTAATGTAACACCGATAATTGAGGAAAATAATATGGAAACATTGGTAGAATCTACTAATGCTAAATTAAAAGACATACACTCAAACATCATGAATATCATCGATATTTCTTTGTTACAAGAAAGCTCGAGCGAAAAAACAGATACCAAAGAATTGATGGAAAAATTGCCTCAAGATTCAGAAAATATAGATGCTTCAGCTACTGCTCAAACTGTAGATACTTTAGAAGGATTTTTAGATATGTCTCTTATGCCGGACAACGAAAATTCCTCATTAAAGAATGTGAAAACTGAAGACAAAGATTCTATGGAAGAAATAATAAGTAAAAATATTGATATGGATCTTTTATTAGATCAAGCGAATCAAGGCGAAGCAGCCATGACGCAAAATTCGGACTACATAACAAATGTGATTAGTTGTTTGACAAACAAAGATAATGAAGTGAGCGAAACTGATATCAACACACCGAGTAACGATAAAACTACCGAAAATGAGGATAGTAGCTCATTAAAAATTAACGAAGATATTAGTACGATAAATGAGACAGCGGATAACAAAAAGATAGAAGAATCTCTTGGAACAGATAACAACTTGCAGCCGAACGATCTGGATATGGACTTCGAGAATAACAGATTGGAATCGGTCGACTTGGAGGAAAACGAAACGAAATTGGAACTGCCGCAGGATATTCTACTGGAGAATGTAAGTGAGAATCTTTCCCGACATACAGATACCCCAACCGTCATCGAGAATTCGCAGTCGAGCTCGGAAATCTCCGAATTGGAATCTGCGGTAAAGTTCTTGCAGGAGTCCGAAGAACAAACGATAGACTCGTTGGTGCTCTCGCCCAAAATGATGGAAAGCGTCGTTGAAGACATAACGAAACAGGCCAACGCAGAACTTTTCGTGCCCGATGAGATAGACAATTATGCGAATGCCGAATCTGAATTGGCAGATCTGAGAGACGTCGCCACCGCGTCCATCTCTATCTCGGAAGCCGAGATCATCTCGGAAGCCGCGAAGCTGGAGAATGAACGGAAATTTGCGACGCAGATGCAAAATGTTCCGAATATTGTCGTGAAGGACACCGAGGAGATAAACGAAGAGATCAAATTAAATGAAGAGGCTCGCACGTGTTCCAAGACTTTGTCTGATACGGCTTCTGTTGCAGATAGCTCCTTGGACACGCAACCAGTGGAAGAATCACTCAAAGACAAGGAAACCACTTCCGACATTAAGTCGAGTGAAGGTATCCTCAAGGCGTGTGAATTAATACCGAGAGTGTCAATACTGGAGGAACGATTGAAGGAACCGCCAAAAATCGAGATACCAATTCCGGATTCGGCTAAGGTGTTAGAAACTTCCATTAGCCCGAATGATAGTCTTCTCATACCAAAGGACGCGAGAGCTATTGCATATTCGAAAATGTTAGAATCACCAAAATTGACCGATAAGACTGAATGTAAAGGCATCGACACACCACGCAAGGATTCCGAGAAGCACTCAGATGTAGAAAACGTTGGTTCGCCGAGGATAATCCTGAAGATCGCTAAATCTGCGATCACGGACTGTAGCGAGCCTCGGTCGCCGAAGAGTCCAAAGATCCGATCGGCTACGAATTCGCCAAATCCGGAAGATAGTCCGGGTCAAAAGTTGGGTAAGATTAAATTGAAATTGTCGAAGGGAGGTCATCCTTCTATAATATCCAACGAGAATACGGAGGAAGTCAATCAGTGGCACACTACTGAAAGTACATCATCTTTGTCTCCTATCGGCATGAAAATTAAATTATCCAAATCTGGTGACGCTTTAATCGTAAGTACGGAGAAACACGAAACGACTTCGGACGACTCGAAGGAGACGAAATACAAAATTGAAGAACCAAAAAGAACGGATTCTCCCATCGGTATGAAATTAAAGGTATCCAAATCTGGAGACGTCTCGATCATTTCTGATTCTAGGCAACAGGATACCAAAGAAACTTTTGCGAAACACAAAGAGAAAATAGAGATGCCACAAGGAAGCCCGAAGAGAACAGAGTCGCCGATCGGAATGAAGATCAAGCTTTCTAAGACTGGCGATGCTTCTATAATTCAAACCGACAAGCAAGAATCTTCAGAAGAGCACAAAGAAGTTACGCAAAAACGGACCGATTCTCCGATTGGCGTGAAAATTAAACTGTCGAAAACGGGCGATGCTTCTATCATATCTCCAGATACTCCTGAGGACTCATCTACAAAGGTAAAAGAAAAGCAGGATTTTTCAGAACTACCGAAAAGAACCGAGTCTCCGATTGGGATGAAGATAAAACTATCCAAATGCAAAGGTGGTGCATCTATTATTTCCGTAGATAACACTGAAGATGCAAAAGAAAAACTAGAAGTGCCCGATCCACCTAAACGCACTGACTCGCCACTCGGTATGAAGATAAAGTTATCTAAAACCGGAGACGCATCTATCATACACTCGGAAGTTACAGAAGATGTTAAGGAAATAAAATATAAAGACAAATCCGAAATAGGACAAGATACAGTGAAAATGTCGGAGTCTTCCGGAATTAAGATGAAGGTGTTGGCATCGTCGGTATCGCCGGAAGTTTCTGAGGAGCAGGATATTCCTCAAGATTCTGAATCGTCTACAGGTGGCATTCCGAAGATCAAGGTATCCATATCTGGGGATACGTCGATAATCTCTAATAAAATGGAGCCAACAGAAGATTCGAGATTACGAGAAGGGCAGGAAGTACCTAAGAGAACGGAATCTCCGCTTGGTATGAAAATCAAGCTGTCCAAGAGCGGCGACGCTTCTATCGTACAGAATGAAGCTGCCGTTGAGGAGCATCAAAGTAAGATAACGCGCGTACCTGATGCGGAATATTCGAAAAGTGGCGACTCGTCTCTTGGAATGAAGATCAAATTGTTCAAGACAGGTGACGCTTCGGTGATAGATACACAATCGTCCGGTTCTTCCGAGAAGAAGGACAAGCAGCAGAGGCGCAGAGATGCCGCCGACTCGCCGCTGGAGATGAAGATCAAGTTGTCCAAGACCGGTCATCCCACTATCGTGGCTTGTGATAGTCACGGCGAGTCCTCTACGCATAAAAATAAAGATCCAGCAAATCTAGATCCCGCGATGAATTTTTCTCACAGATATACGGAGCACGTTACAGTGCCTAAGGAACCTACGTTAAAGATTCTCAAGACTAGCAGTCATCATTCATCCATTTTGCAAAGCAATCGATCTGAGTTGACAATCGAACCTGTGCAGGCAGTACAAAGCAGAAAACAGCCAGAGGAAAACACCCAACAGCAAATAGATATATCGCCCAAACGTAAAGATGTAACAATTTCGCCAATTGAGAGCAAAAAATCCAAATTGGAAGCACAACTCTCCCAGATTCTGCCAGAAGTCACTATCCAACCGGTGATGTGTCGTGATCAGAAACAGCTATTGTTTGATCCGAAGACGAGTCTGATTAGTCGACAGCAGATGAATGTGATCAATCAGGAAATTAGTATCACGCAAGTACGGCCGATGTTAGACAATGCGTCTGACAAATTCAAGGATATCTTGTGCAAAAATTCGCCGGGCGGATCATCGGATTGTGAAATTATTGAGCATCGTCCAGAGCTGATAATCGTCAATGAGAATTCAAATTCCAGTCAGGACGTCGTTATCATAGAAGAGGTAATGCCTAATAAAATGACCGATATTAAGGTGCCAAAGAAGAGAGGTAGACCACGAAGAAATCCCGCAACGGTACAGCAACAGCATATTCAACAGCAATCATCCTCACAAATGCTAATACCCAGAGATCCTTTGGCTTTGGATGAAGTGCAACAAATTTCTCCACAAAAATTTGAGCATAGAGAAAACGAAAGACCTAAGAGAACCTGCAGGAATCAAAAGAGTTACGCTCCGCCCAAAAGAGGCAGAGGAAGAGGTTTGTTTTTCTCATAATTAATAATTTTACGTTTTTTGATTTATTTGAAAAAAAATCTTTTTTAAAGTATTAATATTCATTTTGTATATAAATATGCAGAAATGCAAAATTAATAGCAAAAATTGTACTAAAAATTTTTTCTCAGACAGAAGATGTTATCTCTTTCTTACAAGATTGATCAGCGTTTATAAAAAAAGATATACAAATTTAGATATCAAGTAATTTTCAAAAAAAAAGAAATGTATAAGAAAAAAGAAGTATAAAAAAAATACATTTTCTATTTAAATGCTCATAGATATTGATTGAGATAGATAGAGATTGATATTTTAATATTTTTTATTTAAAAAAAATTAATTTTCTTTTTTTATTATATTTAGGTCGTGGTAAACGGAAACTGGATAATGTGGAGCCTCAAATTGGAAAAAAGACTCGTATAGATCAAGATTTGTCCGCTATAGAAACATCAACAATGGCGGTAATTACTATCGATGAAACACCAATACAACAAGAGACACTTCGAAAATCATCAGAACTATATAAAGCATTGAAACAACCGCCCATAGATCGTAAGAACACCGCGTTAAATCGCAAGGAAGCGGGTAAGAAAGATTCTAAAGTTCCGAACTCTGAGATTACGATACAACTGGAACCCGCCAGAATATCGTGCGTTCAAGAAGATCCGATGAAAGCATCTACAAGTCAGAGCCCATTGATGTCAAAAGCTGGCGAACACAAGAAACCAACCTTAGAAATCGTTTCCGAGAGGATACAGAAATCGTCGGCGAAGCAACACTCTGAGAATAAAAATAAAATGGATGGAATTAAGGAGATACCTATTCCTCCCGGGCATTCGAATTGGCTGACACCAACATCGAAGAAGCAAGATTCAACAGCCATCAGAGGTGAAACAGTGTCAACAGTACAAGTAATTGATGAGGAAACAAGAATGAGCGCCGAATCCGGCTCAAGGTCTCAAACACCGGCTAGGAACATACCAGCACCAAGTATGAATTTATATTAATATTATGAATAGAATATTATGCAACGTTCAAGATAATTATTCAAGAAAATCAATAAATAATAATATCCATTATTAATGTCATTACTTAACAATAATTTAGAACAGAATAATTTAAACAGAATAATTAAATGACTCGTATTTACAACCGAATAAAAATAAAAGGAAAATCAAAAACTTACAATAACAAAAACAAAATAAAAATTAGAATTTTTGATTTTCCTTAGTCTTCCAAAATCTAAGATCTAAAAATCTTAAGATCTAAGATGTATTTGCTAATAACTAAATTTTGAAGGAATTTACTTAATATTATTCATGTATTAATCTAATTTTTCATTTTAATTATATCTGATTTAAAAATATAATCTCTCTGCGCATTATACACGGAAAAAAATAGCAGCAACATTCAACAGCATTAAGAGTAATTGAAAATAATTTTGTTAATTCTATAGTAATATTAGTAAAAAAAATATATATGCATTTTTATTTCATTAATAGTGTTATTGAATCAAAAAGATTATTTTCAATTACATTCAGTCTTGTCAGACTTATCATTTTATTTATTTTTATTTATATAGAGATATATTTTTGTTAATAATTTTTAATAATATAGTTATTTGTATTATTAATATAATCCTCTTTCTTTAATATATACATCTATAAAAATCTATAAAAATAAATGTCTGAAAATATATTTTTATTTTAGTCATTGAAAAGTTTTAGATGGATTGAATTGTATATGTATTGGTACACATCCAAAATTTCAAGCAGATTAAAAATAGATTCTTTCTTGTGACATAAGATGTCTCTCAAGTAACTAAATTGTAATGATGTCCTCAAATATGAGGCAGTGTACATCATTTCTTTTATTTGCAATATGTGTCGCAATTATGTTGTGCTTAGCAGCACTAAAAACGCTTATATTAATTCGTATATCATCTATATAAATATATTTATAAATTGTCAGTGTATATTTGTATATATTTATAAAATCAAGTATTTTTATGTGCGTGCAATCATGTGTCGATATGATACATATTCATGTTTCAAAATCTTAAGTAAGCTATATTGTAATGAATATTTTTATGTACAATATGTTTTAAAAGACATTTAAATCGGGAAGAACTATTAATTTATTATAATATAATAAAAATTTTAACAATATATATTATTTTATTGATAATAAAGAACAAATCTTTTATTTTTTTGTGTATATCTATCACCATAATATTAATATCAACATTAAAGAAATATGTAAGGCAAGAGCTGTTAAAAATTATACAGATGTAAAACGCTTCTTATTTATTGAATTAATTTATATAGCTCTAAAATTTATATAACCAATTGATTATATGTTTTTATATTAATTATTTATATATAATTAATAATTATATAATTAATTAATTTTTTATAGCTTCAGAGACAACAATAAATGAAGAATCGCAAGGTAGTGTTCTAAGTACTGCTACGACAGAATCAGAAAAAGTTAAAGTAAAGAATCGAAGGATGGAGATTAATTTTGATCCTGATGAAGGCCCTTTCACTGTTGATAAAATAGCAGAATATGAATGGCCATTGGATCGAAAAGGCGAAACTTTTATGATACAAGAACAGATATCACAATATCTTGGTGTAAAGTCTTTTAAACGTAAATATCCTGATCTCAAACGCAGAGTAGTTGATATGGAAGAAAGAAATTATTTGAGGGAGAATGGATTAGTCAGTGAAGCAATGTGCGATATGGGTAAGTTTATAGTTTTTTCTAATTTTTCTAAAATCTATTCATGTAAATTTTTAATATCCTACTAATTTTATTATTATTTTATTATAAAGATACTATCAAAGTTTTTTCTAAAGATTTATAACAAAAATAAAATTATTTATATATAAATTTAGATAAATTGTCAGAATTTTTATTCTTTTTATAATAGCTTTTACACACGCGCGCGCGCGCACACGCGCACACACACACACACACACACACACACACACACACACACAGACACACACATATATATACATATATGTATTGTTCTATTGTATTATACAGGACTAACTGCAATATGTAGTTCAGAAGTATTAGATGTAATGTGCAGTGATTTCCCCGATCAGTATGAAGAATATCGTAAGCACATGCGCGAAAAACAAGTCAAGGAACATTCCAAAAAACAGAAAGAGTTAACAGCAGCAGCAAATGCTGAGAGAAATAGGATAGACCTTGCGGAAATGGCGATGCAATCTGCATTCACGTGGAACGCTAACTTAAATAAAGCTCGCAAGGAGCAACGCAAATATTGCTTAGATTTACAAACTTTTACGATTCATCAACCACAAAAGCAACACAAATCCGATTCGGAGCATAAAGTAGGTCATTATCCTGTGGCTCTAATACCGGGGCAATATACTGATTATTATCGGGAGTATACACCAGCAGAATTGAGATATTATCCATTGAATACAGTCTTATATGGACCCACGCGACCTAATGAACGTAAAAGTGATAGTCAATCGGAAGGTTCTCAGAGCGATAGCGATAGCGAATCGTCTTCCGACGACTCAAGGTTGGTAGTAATCATAAAATAAAATGCCGAAATTTGCGATCATATTTTTCTAACAATTGAGTTGATTTTAACTATAATATTTTTGAGATTTATAATAAATTGATTTATTGTAATAATAATATAAATTAATAAAGATATAATATGTAACGTTATATAATATTTTTCTTCAAAGTTCGTCCTCCAGTGAGGGTACGCAAGATACAGAAGGATCTCAATCGACCATGGATGAAGTGGACATGGAAATCTCGAATTCAAAGGATGATGCAAAGTTAAAATGCAAAATGTGTCTGAAAGTCCTAAATAAACATAATAAAAATGAAATATTAATCCAATGTGGTACTTGCAATGGAAACGGTAAACACTACATCACGCTGCAATCACATTGCATATAATACTTTTTATGAAATTAATTGAAATTGTATCATTTTTAGTTCATCCATCCTGTATAGATTTAACATTGGATATGGTACCACACATCCAATCGTATGCATGGCAATGCACCGATTGTAAAACGTGTGCGCAATGTCACGATCCTGCAGACGAAGATAAAATGCTCTTTTGTGATATGTGCGATCGTGGGTAAGTTGTATATAAATTTGAAAAAATCTATGTGTTATATTATTACTTGATAAACACAATTCAAAAATTATTTTTGATTGCCTATTTCGCCAAAAAAAAAAGAAATGACTAAATAAAATATAAATATAAATAATTATTCGTAGAATTGCAAATTATTTGGGATTTTTATTTTAATATAATTTATCACATGTTCAGGTACCATATCTATTGTGTTGGTTTACGACGAGTACCACAAGGAAGATGGCATTGTCAGGAATGTGCCGTTTGCGCGAATTGCGGTTCGAGGGAGCCCGGTGGTGCTAATTCAGATCGAAACAGCGTCGCGCAATGGCAGCACGAATATAAAAAGGGCGAGAAAAATACTCGAGTATACGTCTCGACACTCTGTGTACCATGTTCGAAGTAAGTATAATCAATGATTGGTTTTTCCAAACTATGCTGGGCTTCAAGTGCTTGATAATTTTCATGGCTCACATTATAACACTTTTCCAACATTTTCTCATTTTGTTATGTTAGATTTATACAGAATATTTAGTATAGACACCTTTGGCAAACGGGATAATATTTTGAAAATTAAAATTTTATTATTTTTAAAAATTTGATTGAATTCCGCAACATAGTTTTTTACAATTTTTAAACTTTTAATAGTAAACATTTTGGGGTAAGTATATTTTTTTATACTTAAACTAAAATTTCCTTAAAATTATAAATGATTTGAAGAAAATGACTGAAATTAACTAAAAAATAAAGTTCTTTTTATTTAATCTTGTATTATAATTTGATAAAATGTTTATTATTTTTCTCTTTTTGATTAATTATAATTCAAAAATGATTTTCGACAATTTTGAAGAAAAAAAATCTTTGTTATCAAATTATCATGATAGAAAATGTATTAGCACGTGAGGTATCTTTAATTCTTCTCTTCTCCCTTTCTTCATGTACCGAGCACCATCATAATACATAATATACCCTACCTGAATTCACTAACCACATGATCTTTATGCGATAACAAGGCTATGGCGAAAGGGTCGCTATTGCCCGCACTGCAGTCGCTGTCATACCGCCCAAAGGCTCGACCTGGAAACGAATCTAGTGCATTGCAGCGCATGTGACAAGTATCTGCACTTAGGTATTGACACCAAGTTTTCATAAGATTCGATTAGTTTAATGTTTTGAGCACCAGAACATGTGAAATTAAATATTAATAGGCCTTTATTAATATATTTAAGCAAAAATTACGATAAATATTATATAAACTCATCAAAAACGAACTGATCAATGGAAGTAATAAACATGTCATTAGCTACATAAGTCCGTATTCTAATATATTCTTTTTGAAAATTGTACATACTTTCGGAAATCTTATTTTAGGAGCTTAACTTGAATCTTCAGCAGGCGCTCAAAGCGTTAAGTTCATTGCATGTCGCGATGTAGGAGCATTTGAGCATTTGCACGCGCCATCAAGTTTTGTGATCATTGCCACATTTAAATTATTTATCATTCATTGCATATATACATTTTTCAATTCTATCTTCCTCTCAAATAAAAATTACAAACTGTAGCGAATGCTGCAGTGCAGAGATGCAGTTGTTTATTTATTTGATTTAACCTGACATATATTGTCTATCTTTATTTACCTAGATTTATCGAGAATCTTTGTTTTATCAGTATCAATCAGTATCATTACCTTGATATTTCTTGTTTTAGGTCATAAAGCCTTAAAGGAATAAAAAAGTAATTTGTTCAAGATAAAAATATCTAGATACCTCTGCTTTTATCCAGCTGCTGTTACGGAATATTACGTATATTTGCATGTGGAATATATGTGTAATCATATATAAAATTTCTTTCAGAATGCGTGGAGACCAAGGGAACAGTGGTTGACAAGAAAAATTATTTATGTGATTTCTGCACACCGTCGACCAGCCAGAATGTGGTAAAGCCTTTAATGTCGAAGGTGCTCAAAACGTGAATATGATAATTGTAACATTGTCCAAAAGAATATCAAGTTGTATAATACTAATGCCAGTGCAGTGTATATTATATTAAAGTAAATAAGTTTTTTATTGAGTGCGTTTGTGAGCGATTAACGCGCAAGATTTTCTTCTGGAGTACTTCATGACAAACGAATCATATTGTACATAGTTGCGGAATAAGTCATTTAATTTTTGTGAATTTTTACGCATCGTTTACCGCGAGATAAATAGTAAATTGTTTAGTAAGGAAAAGACTGAATGTTTAGTTTGGATTATCAACATCTCATCAAAATTACAATATATAAGAAATCGCGCACTTTCCTTTGATTATAGATTTTTTGACGAATTTGGAATTGATTTTTATATAACATCAGCTTTTTTGGTTAAACACCCCTTTTGTAATTCATTCTTTTGCATATAGTTTTGCATACATTAAAAAAACAATTTTACGAAATAAAAGATTTATTTAACGTAAACTAAAAAATAAAATGTAGTCATATTTATGTTTCACAAGCTTAATTTGCGAAAAAAAATTCGGTTTATTATTTATAAAAATATAGATGCAATACAAGAATTATTTTTATTTGCGTGACCGTTATGAATTCGAAAACAAGCGATTTTCTAACTTTCTGTACGCATAAAATTATTTATATAGGAGACTAAAAATTTTATGTATGATGTAATCACAAGAAAAATTTAAGCGATTCAAACTGGATAATATAATTTATTATTAATATGTCAACATATGTATATTAATGAATAATATATATTTGTTTTAATAAATATATATTATATATTAATACATATATTAATAATGTATTTTTAATAAATTATGTATATTATTAAGTCTTTTTTTAATCTTTTGTTTGAAATTTTAATTATTAATGCTATATTAAAAGTTAAATCATATTTTTTATCCTTTATATCATGTTTTTGCCTATTCACGTTACAAAGACTGTATTTTTTCTTCATTTTCGAAGAATATGAAACTAGGCAAATTTATGCTCTTGCATTTTTTCCAAATTACCAACTCTGATATTCCTAAAAAGAAATAATCATATCAGTAAACCATTAATGAGTTTTGTAAAATATTGTCTTTTCTGTCCAACGCTACATGTATGTAGAACAGAAGGAAAAGAAATAAAATGTGAAACTAATAAAAAAATAATAGCAATTTCTTAAAAATATATATCGTTCTCTTTATTCTTCTTTTGCGACATAATCCTCAGATTAGTGTTTTGTTGCAAGAGTTAGATGCGAATAAACATCTTTTTTTGCATATGTTTTTACATACTTATCATTACACAATCCACATTTTGAACAGTGCGCTCTTTCTCTTTTTTTCGCTGTCAAAAATCAATTACAGTATATATAAGATAATGTTAGATTACGTTGCATTATGTACACATACAGAATAACGATAGTAATTGCGACTGTTTAAAAAATGAGCAAGTTGCAAAATATAAACTTTGGCATATCGTTGCATCAACCTTGTATAATATTACGTCAGAATAGTCTTAGTATAATTCGTATTGCAATGCAATCTGTACAAGATACTTCTAAACAGTGCGTACGCGCGAAGAATGCAGAGTTGCTGCATAGCATCTTACCGATTTTACAGCTCATCGATTCCAATTTTTTTAGTTTTTTTTTTTAATCGCGATGTTATTCTCGTGACGCAAACACTCGATTTCTATAGTACAATTATATAGCGATACCGGCAGCATTAGTGACAGCAAAGAACATCGTTGTGAAGAAGAATATGTATACGTTCCACATGTGCTCTGCATTCCAGTATTAAACTGTACCAGGAACACCCACGCAGTGTTCTACAATTTCTTTTTCGCGATAACAAACGTTCCTTTCTTTTGTTTAGAATTCGAGTAGACGTCGAGTGATTTTAAAATGGCTGTGCACAATTTAATGTCATTTAGAGAAACATCACACATGTTAATTAACATTCCGCACGTGATTACAACATCATAAAATAACGTACTTTGAGCAAAAAAAACGAGACATCGTAGCATAATCAGCAGTACAAGTCGTACGAGTATTATTATATCTAACGTGCAATCGCGTTGTTAAAGAGCACTTATGTGCGAAACGAGGACGGGCTCACACCTCGGAATTGCACTTGACCCGTCATTGACTAGTAGTACTCGGTATACAAGATAATATAGCGTCTGTTTTTTCAGCTGCACTTCGTTGCTATTTTTATATTATATTTAGAAAAAAGATCAGGATTCGGAAGAAAACGGAGGGCTTGCAAAAAATTCGCATAAAAGTGCAGTCAGAAAGAACAGCAACGTAACTACATCGTCAGTAAATATCGAGCGAACAGCCGTTTTTCTCGCAAATGAAAGCGAGACGTATTCAAATACGCCCCCCGACTGTCAGTGAAGCAAAATAACATCGAGAATTATTTGCGCACGTAGGAAAACTTACAGTTGCTTACTTTCATGCCACTGTAATGCTGCTTTACCCTTTTTCTGAAAGCAGCGTTAAATTTGCTGAAAAATATACCCGAAAAATTGAAGTCATAATAAAATATATAAAATAAAATCATTTTTGAGAAAATTCACAAAAATTTACACAATCTTAATCGTAATAATAATCGACAATAATAATCGTAGTAATAATCGACAATAGGTAAAATTATAGTTGCCTCCGTGCGTATTCTAAAATCGAGCGAAAACCTTAAATTTTTCCTTTTTTTTTTGTTTTGAGACAACTCTTTTACATGCTGTTTTTTCAAGCATGGATTTTTTATCCTAAATGTGCGCTTTAATTCCGATGAGTAATTGACAGTGTAAAAATGATCTTGAGTATTTACTCGTGCCTAATACCATATATAGATAACAAAGTACTGAAATTGTGTAAGTGAGTAGCCGGTATAACGGTGATCACTAAATTCTGCATAGAAAACTTTGATAGAACATTATGAAGGAAGTTCGGACCAGGAAAGCTGCCGACTTTGTAAAATATTCGCAAATTACATGTTGGATTTGTGCTTTGTGAGCCTTTCCTGAGTTTACACAATAGATAATCAAAAGTCTCCGATAGTTCATTTGCATTCACCTCTGTGGATGGCAAACTCGCATCTGTTGTTAAATTACCAGTCGAATTAGACGAACCTACTCACAAAGATTCCGAAGTTAAAAAATGTTTTATTAAAAATAATTTTTAATTTATACACGAATTGAATTTTAAACATATAAACTAATAACTGATTTTTATTAATTGATTTATATTTATCTTGTATTATTACTATTCTGCTATTACTGCTTATTTTCAAGATATTATGATGTTTCATTTTTCTAAGATTTCTACTATTTTTAAAACATATGTCTTAATGTTTTAAATATCCAAAATGGAAAAGAGAATGTTATATTTACAAAAAGAAGTTTAAAAGATGAATGTGTTATAAGAATGAATGATCTATTAAAAGAAAAACTTACCAGTAGACATGTAACATACAATCGCTGAAACATTATTTTCATAATTCCATCTACGTCTGATGGCTATCCTAAAATTAGCCACACATTTTCCTGTTTCCTCGTCTATAATAAATAATAATATATGTAATAATTAGACATATATATCACAGATTATTGACTTAACAAATAGAAAAATATATTTGCTGTAATTATACTATAAAAAAGGAAAGATGAAAAAAAAACAAATTTCTTTACTTAATTTGCAGCAAATACTTTCCTTCGGACAAACTTTGAATACTCACACTCAAATCGATTATTATCTCTATGAGCCCAAACACACCACTCAACTTGAGCACCACGTGGCAAATTTGGTATAACAATGTAATCTACAATAGCATTTCTTGTCCTTCTTTCCCATTCCTTTCTTGCATCTGCTATGTAACTAGAATGAGTCAGGAAACAGATACCTTGTACTATATCTCGAAGTTTCGCATCCATAGCTTTAACAATGCGGTCTATGTGCCTCAATGTTAAACGGCACTGTCGTTTAATATTCATATCTAAAAGATTCATATTGCCAGGCACCAGAGGTATTTGCCCAGCAACTAAAATAACATCACCTACCTATAGAGAAAATTATATCTTCCATTACACAAGATCTTCTTAAATTTTTAAATAGGTGTAAAATACAAAAATATTAAATAAAGATTTAATATTTTAAATATCTAATATTTCCTCCAAAAAAATATTAGAAAATTAACAAAAAATAGTAGATATTTTATAAGAATACTTATATCATGTTAATTGTTGCACTTACACGAATAGCCTGAGAATAAGGGCCAATATTAGCAGGTGCCCAATGACTGATACTTTGTACATGCATCGTGTGTCGCTTACAAGTCCATTTATCACCGCATTCTTGACTTTCTTTGTATGCTATAGCGTCGAGCGCGACATGTATATTCAAAGGACATTCTACACACACACGAACTGATGGATTTGTTTTACCCAACCAAGAAATATATACCTCATTTATGGCCTTGTAATTCGACATATCTTTAATATACAATGTTACCGCAACTATGTCGGATATACATAAATTTTCATTTTGAATTAGAGCTGCAATTATAAACAAATATAACATTAAAAAAGTTACTTACATTATCTTTTCGCATTATTAATCAAATTTAAAATAAAGAATAACTATTAATATTGAATAATTACTAAGCCGAAAATTATGTGATTAAGATGTAAATTTTACTGCTTAATTTTTCCAGTGCCTCTTCCATAGCAGATGTGACATCTGGATGTTTTCCTATAATATTTCCGAACCAGAACCATCCTGTTTGATTCCTGTTAACAATTGGTGCATCTAGACAATCTTCCTCTTCGTACAAAATCTCCATTGGACTTGGAGGATGAAACTGACCTATACATTAAGATATAATGCAACATGCTATATATATATGTGTATATAATGTGTGCTATATATATATATGTTTGTATTCTTTTTTTAATTTTCTACCTGAATTTGATGCTTTCAAATTATTGCTTTCGCATTCGTGCTCATCATTTTCATCTTCTGATAAATTGCAGCCATCATGTAGCTCAGGACCAATGATTTCGGCAATATAATCCTGTGGCGATTTTATTAAAACATTTTTTAGTCTTTCTGATAGACTTAACTTTTCCAATTCTCCATTCTAAAAAGATAAGTCTTTATTTTTTATTACCACTGTATTACAAATTATTTATTAAATATCTGAAAACTTACAGCCTTCTCCTCTAAATAAATTTTTGTAAATTTGAGATATCCTACAGGCGCTACATTATCCCTTGAGTTTACAACGCTTTCATAATCATCACTAAGTCATGAAAAAAGAAATAAAGCACATCATCAAGGATTTCATGTACTGAATAAAATTATTTCGTTACATGAAATCCTTATAAATGCAGATATAATAATACTTACATAACAATACTTTTGGCAAACAAAGGACAATCTAAGGTAAAAGTTTCATATTCTCCTCCTTCACCACATATGTTCACTCCATATTTTTCTTTCTATCAATAAAATTTCTTTTATAGTAATTTTTATAGATTCACAAAAAAATGAATAAAGATATTTCCAACTTTGTTTTATTATATTTTTCTATATATATATATATATATATAATAATTATATATATATATATATATATATAATAATAGTATACACACACACACACACACACACACACACACACACACACACACACACACACACACGCACGCACGCACGCACACACGCACGCACACGCACACACACATGATGATCGATTAATACAATAATATAAATATTAATAAATTTTAGAAAAAGCATTAAGCAGAAAATAGAAACTGGATTATTTAAAAAATCATAACTAATTAAGCAAAAAGCAATACATGACTTACTATCTTAAGAAGATGAGGCTGCATTTCAGTTATAGATTTTCCCAAATGTTTAATTTCAAGACCCAAGGCTGCAACTTTGATCAATATCGCGTTAACAGAACCCTGTATCATTTCATTTAACAACTCATCTTGGTCCCGTCTCCATAAATACGATAAGGAAATAAGACCTAAACGACTGCATCTGAAAGATATTTAAAAAATTATTAATAGCAATTAATAATACATTATAGGTTTAAGTAAAAAAAAAATAATCAAATAATTACACATTTTCTACACGAATTCGTTGATAATCACTAAGAATAGCACCGCTTGACACAGCCTCTATATTTTCACGTTCCTGAAAAAAATATATAATTTATTGTAGTAATATAGATGTTAATTTATATATGTATATATGTTTGTATGTATATATATCTTAGAAAATATTATATTAAATTATATTTTATATTAATTCACCTTCACTGTGCTTAAGAGTTTAAAAAGATCTTCAACTTCATCATTTTCTGTAGGATAATAGTATTTCTCTTGTACATTGGCTTTACCAAATGTTGGATAACGATATATAGGCAAGCCTATAGCTTGAGCAATATACTTAATGCCTTGATGTCCTACTGTTTGAAACATAAATGAATCCAGATCATCTAAAAACAATGTGTTAATCCTTATGTTACATCTGCATAAATTTCATATATTTATGATAATATAAAAATTGAAATTATAATATATTTTGTTATATTCAGTTAGAACTTTACCGTCTAATATCAATTAGTTGTATCTAATTAAATGTTTCACAAAATACATATTTATTGCAATACCTTTTTCAACAGGATATAAATTAGCTAAAGCCACAATCTCATGGCCAGCTGCTATACATTGCATCATATTGAAGCAAGAATCTTTGCCACCACTAATCAATGCAACAACCCTCATGTTTTTTTGTTGATTGTATTTAGATCTCTTTCTTAAGAAACAATTATTACAGCTAAAATAAGAGCTGATTTATTTGGTTAGACAATCATCTGCAATAAAAATAAAAAAGAGCATATGTAAAAATAGAATTTTAATAGAATTTTATAATAGAACTATAAAAATTTTGAAAATATACATAGATATAGTCAATTACAACGATGCAACAGAAATTATAAATTCTTATATTTCAGAGTATAAATCAAGTAAAATAAAAATTTTAATTTTAATTCATTATATTTTTTTATACATAATTATCTTGTTGTACATTATAAATAAAATAAATAGAATAGAATGTGTAAAATATTAAATACTTATTTTATATATATAGTTATTTTATATATATATATGTGTGTGTGTGTGGGGTGGGTGGTGTGTGTGTGTGTGTGTGTGTGTGTGTGTGTGTGTGTGTGTGTGTGTGTGTGTGTGTGTGTGTGTGTGTGTGGTATGTATTGATATATTGCATATTTAAAATTTATGTAATCATGCAAGATAGATAGTTAAGATTTTACAAGATAATAACAAAATCGTCATCTATCTAAATAGTAAACAATTGATAAATTATTTATTAGATATGTTTACATGCATCGAAAGGATCATAGCAGCTACCACGCATCGGAGCTTGTGAATGGAACCATCGACGTAAACACAGTGCGAAATACAAGCGTTAAAGATGGGGTGCAAATTATTTATTAATATATATAACAGTCAGGCCATACACATAGGCACGTAATGCAGCGATAGGATTTATCACGGACGCAACACGAAGAATATGAAACGCGCTACTGATTCCTCACAATTTCTGTCGATACCGGATGTTAGATCGTTAAACGAGGATATTGCGATAAAGCATGGATTTATCACATTGGAGTGAGGGGGACCGTGCTGGCTGCAGGATGAACTTTTTGGTTATCGCGGAAACGAATATGCGCGAAAGGAAAACGAATGGCGAAGTGACAGCGGGCAATGAACCGCCCGGATAAGCGCAAGCTCGACGATCACGGCGGCACATGCAGCGAAATCGGCTCTGGATCTTCAGTAAATGTGATATTTACGTTAAATCGGTGGCGAAAACCTCTCACACAACACATTTGGCAGCCCATGGGAGACTGATAGAGCCATGAACGACAGGAGAGGAGTGTGACAACTACAATCGTTACGACAGTGGCTCCACGGCGAGGCAGCGTTCGCAGCACTGCAATTGAGGTTATCCTAGACGTTGAAAAAATTGAACCGATCAAACGAAGAGGATCGTCGCGCTTGTCCCGTCGTTTTCTCGCGAACAACGGAACAGAGTTATTTTACATATTGGAAGAATCATGTTTGCTTGAAATACAAAAATACATGGACAAAATCGTCCATGGAGTCGAGAGACTCACAGGTGAACAATCGCGCGATCGTACGTGCCTCGTGATATCATTAACGTGACCAATCAGGGACGTCGCTACGTCACGATTACTACATCTGTTAGTTTTATCAAAGAGAAACATAAGAGTAGCCACCTCGACCTTTTTCCTTACCCATCAAACCCTTCATACTACTAGCACCAACTGAAAAAAAATGATAAACTGTATGTACATTCACAAAATATTTCTTCATATAAATTTGTGTCACTTTTTATTTTTAATGTTTATAAATGACTATATATATATGTCGTGAAAATTAATTTATAAAGTTAATCTTTATAGATGGAAATATAAAAGATAATAAAAACTTTTTCGCCAATATGAAGTGAAAAAGAGAAAAGATACAACGGTACAAAAGTTTAGTTAAAAAAAAATACACTTTGTAGATTTTAAAAAATAAAATCCTTTTGTTATACTTCTTAAAATAATAAGAATACACGACATTCTGATGTTTTTATTAATAATAGATTATCTTATTATTTTAAAGTTTTTTAGATATATATATATATATATATATATATATATATATATATCTCGTATATAT